ACATAGTTATACCAACTTTCAGGGGGAATATCCTGATATCACACGAATGGGAACGCTAGCTCAAAGTCATATCTAATGACTAAATAATAATATATACTTATATCAAACTAACTAGGAGATAGCATTTGATAGCATGGACAGAATAACATTATGGACGCTTCTTCGACACTACGGCATACCTGAAAAGATAGTTAATATCATACGGAATTCCTATGATGGATTAAACTTCCAGATAGTGCATGGAGGACAGCTCACAAACTAGTTCGAAGTAAAGACCGGTGTCAGGCGACGTTACATACTCAACCCTTTCTCTTTCTCCTAGTGATCGACTGGATCATGAAGACATCAATATCTGAAGGAAAGCATGGGATACAGTGGAGAGCTAGAATGCAGCAGGATGATCTAGACTTCACAGATGATCTGGCTCTTCTATCACACACGAAACAACAAATGCAGGAGAAAGTAAGTAGATAGGTATATTAAAATATTCAGTACATTCGAAAGTAACCAAAATTTTTCAAAAAAGAGGACTTTGTTGCTAAGCAGCGATACTAGTTTTCTAGTTTTAAATACATACAGATTTTGTTAATGATTGAATTTACATTCTAAATGGCTTCAATATTCGTTGAATGGAATATATTTCGATCATTTCTAGTTTGTATAAATTACCGATAAATATTTTGTCTACTTTGATCGTACAGAATGATTACTGTTTGATAGTGAATTTCAAGTTTTATTGTCAAATTACCGTATCTCAAATAATAAAGTAAAAAAGATATCAACATTTCCGGCTTCATACAATATGATAAGCAGATTGAAGGGAAGGAAAAACTGAAGAGATTTCGCAAAAAGAAAAAAAATATCACTTTTTGATTGGCAGTCAGTCAGCAACAACGTAGAACTTCGTACGTACGTACATCAGTTCGAGTTGACATACCACATTATCACAGAGATGCAGTTGTCGACTCAAATCCCATAGTGGTAGAGGTAGTAAAAGTATAAGCAGTAATCAGAAAGATTAGGGTTTGAATATGTTATTCAAGGAATATAATCTAGTGAAATAAATTTGGGAAGAGAAAAAATAAGGGACAAGAATTCGAAAGATTAGGAATTTGTGAGAACACAAAGAGTGGATGCACCTTCACCATTGCAAATGATTTTAAACCACATCATTCAAAGTGTCTAACCATCAGTTGCTAATTAATTAATGTAAATTTAAGCTACCTCCCCCTCTCCCAATGCTGATCTATCATTGACTGCAAAACGGTTGTAACAGTATTAAAAATTAGTACTATTCAATCATTGACTAATGAAAATGAACTTTGCTTATTTACGCCTGTTACTCCTCGTGAAGGAGCATAGGCCGCTTACCAGCAATCTCCATCCAACTCTGTCCTGGGCAATCCTTTCCAGCTCCTTCCAATTCTTATTCATCCTTTTCATATCTGTTTCTATTTCCCGACGTAATGTGTTCTTTGGCCTTCCTCTTTTCCGTTTCCCTTCAGGATTCCAAGTTAGGGCTTGCTTCCTGATGCAGGTTGATGATTTGCATAATGTAAGTCCTATCCATTACCATCGTCTTTTCCTAATTTCCTCTTCAGTTGGAAGTTGGTTTGTTCTCTCCCACAGAAGGCTGTTGCTGATGGTATCCGACCAAGAGATGTTGAGTATCTCGCGCAAACAACCTTTTATAAATACTTATACCTTCTTGATGATGGTTGTAGTAGTTCTCCAAGTTTCAGCTTCGTACAGTAGAACTGCCTTGACGTTCGTATTGAAGATTCTCACTTTGATATTGGTTGAAAGTTGTTTTGAGTTTCACATGTTCTTCAATTGTAGGAATGCGGCCCTTGCTTTTCCAATCCTCGCCTTTACGTCTGCATCTGAACCTCCTTGTTCATCGATGATGCTTCCCAGTTAGATGAAGGATTCTACATCTTCCAGAGTTTTGCCATCAAGAGTGATTGGATTGCTGTTCTCCGCTTTGAATTTGAGGACTTTGTTTTTTCCCTTGTGCATGTTGAGGCCTACTGATGCAGAGACTGCTGCTACACTGGCTGTTTTTATCTGAATTGGTTCGTGTGTATAGGTCATCTGCAAAGTCCAAATCGTCTAATTGATTCTGTGCTGTCCATTGTATTCCGTGTTTTCCTTCAGATGTCGACTGGATTATGAAGACCTTGACATCTGAGGAAAAACACGGCATACAATAGATAGCTCTGAACCAATTAGACGATCAATCATTGACTAATGAAAATGAACTTAGATCACTTTTAAATTTTTAGTAAATAAAAAAGTAGTTCAATATTAAAGATTTCTGGATAGAATTCCAACATTTGATTTACAAACATCACGACTATAGTTACAGATATCATCACTTACACCTGTTACTCTCAATAGAGTATAGGTTACCGATATCATTTATCATCGAATAAAACACAATCATGAATCTTATGTAGGAATTCTATTCGAGTAGTGGGGTTAGGCAGGGTCGCCCAATCTCACCATTCCTCTTCAACTTTGCCATCGATGACATTCTGGAAACAGCACTGATGGATGTAAGTAATGGCGGTGTGGATCTGTTGCCTGGAGAAAGACTTCTCGACCTTGAGTATGCGGACAATATTGTCTTACTGTGCGATAATGCCCAAGGCATGCAATCCGCACTTAATCAGTTGGCAATCAGTGCCCGTAAGTATGGTATGTGCTTTGCACCTTCGAAGTACAAAGTACTTCTACAAGACTGGCAGGATTCCAATCCTGTACTCACCCTGGATGGTGAGCAGATAGACGTAGTCGAGAAGTTCGTGTATCTGGGTAACTGCACAAGTGCTGGTGGGGGTGTGAGTGATGAGATCAATGCACGTATCGTGAAAATCAGAGCGGCTTATGCCAATCTGGGCCATCTTTGGCGCCTTCGTGATGTTAGTCTGGCCGTAAAAGGTCGGATCTACAACACGTCGGTGAGAGCAGTTTTGCTCTATGCTTGTGAAACCTGACCTGTCCGAGTTGAGGACGTTAGATGACTCTCTGTGTTCAATCATCGTTGTCTCCGAAGGATTGCTGACATTCAGTGGCAACACCATGTCAGTAATGCAGAGGTTCGGCATCGTGTGTTCGGGCACAGAGATGATAATGCAATCGATGTCACCATCTTGAAACTCCGACTTCGGTGGCCTGGACATGTTCTACGAATGTCGTCCCAGAGAATTCCAAGTCGTGCATTATTTGCCGACTCTGGGACTGGTTAGAAGAAGCGGAGAGGTGGTCAGTGCATGACATAGTGTCGTGGTATGAAAGAAAGCTGCAAAGGACTCTCTTGTGTCGGTCCTTCACGACTCCCTGGTTGGGAGATGTTGCAACACATTGACTAGAGACGTTATCAAATATGGCTCAGAATAGAAGCCAGTCGTGATCCTGCTGTAACCTTCTTTTACTTTCTTCATAAAAAGTGGTTGTGTCTCCCTTAACTGAAAGATTTCTTCTGATTGTACCTTTCCGTTCCCTCATTATTACTATTATTATTACTACACTACCTTACACCAATCCCTTCGTTATTGTTCTCTTTTTTTCACGCTCCTTACCTTTATTTTCTTTCTCTTCGAATTCTCATTGTTTTGTGTGGCGCATATATATTGGCGCCCTCTTGTACCACACACACACACACAGAAACATATAGTTGTTTATTAAACAGAACATTTAATTAATTAATTATTTATTTATTAATACGTATCAATAATAAGCTTATAAATGAGCAAACACATATACAAATATATTTAATGAAATGACAGTGATAGACTAGTTATGTTCATCAAAGTAGTAAGAGTATAGATTACTCTAATGAAAACAATAAGATGTATCCACTCCATTACGTCATCATCATCTTCTTCTCTTTCTTCGTTTCTATCGAATTATTACTTGATGAATATAGGTGTATAAATTAGAATGTAAGAAGGAGAGAACAATAAAAATATGTATATAATTAATAAAGATGAATAGGATTGAAAAAAATTCAAAATAAAGAATTACACTATTCACAATAAGATGATAGTGACTATAGTAACAAGAACAACAACAACAACAATAGCAGCAGCAATATTCTTCTTGGAGATTCATTGAAATAAAGCAATGATGATGATGATGATGATGATGATTGTTAGGATAGTGATTAAGAAAAAGAAGAAAAATAAACAAACATAAAATGAAAACGATAAGATCTTGTAAACAATCAAAGATCTACACTTATATGTACATATAGAATGTTTTAAAAAGAGATAGATTAGTGGTAAGAAAAAAGAGAGAGAAAGAAGAAGAAGAAGAAGGAAGATTGAAATAAGATCTATAAACATAGAAAAAAATAAAATGTTCTTGAAGATATAAATCTCTAAGAGATGAACATAGGATTGATGATAATTCATAGATTTTGAAGAAGATTGATATGATAAAAATAGAATAATTAGAACAAGATGATGAAGATTGGAAACAATCAATTCAATGAAACCAAGTTATCAGAAACAAATATATATATATATATATAAATCATAAACAACTCTTCATATATTCATTTAATGATGACAATAGTAATCCATGAATAAAATTGAGGTAGATCATGTGTATATGTGTATATATATATAGTTTCATTGAATAATGTATTTATCATTTTGTATTACCTATCTGAATACAATACACTGGTATATAAATATAGTAGGAATGAAATGAGTATAACCCCATATATACTTCATATATAGATAGATAGATAGATATGGTAACAGTTTAATGTAACATAAAACATTATTTAAATAGAATGAGGTAGATGAATGAATAATTATTAATCAAAGCAACAACAATAAAAACATGAAAATAAATGTGATTTTTAAAAAATAAAAAAAAAGAAGAGGGGGGGAGCAAGAAATAAAGAATCATGCAACATTGTAATATCAATTAATCATAGTAATTGTTTGAATGTTATTTAATGAATTGTTACTAAGGGATTCAATATTCTATTGACTTTCATAATTGATAGTAGTAGTAGTAGTACTGTTGTCAATATGACCGTTATTATTACTATTACTGCTATTCAATGAGAATAATGTCATTGATACATTATGAACAAATTCCATAGTAGGTTTAAGTTCTTTTGGTTGTAAATCTCTAGGAATCTATAAATGAATGTAATGAAGAAAAGATAAAAATAAGATAATATAAGTAGTGTAAATAAAGTTCAATTTATGATGAAATAGTCATTAAATAAAGGATAAAAACCATAGTAACAAATGTCAGTCAGTCAGTAACAACGTAGAACTTCGTACGTACGTACATCAGTTCGAGTTGCCATACCACGTTAGCACAGAGATGCAGTTGTCAATTCAAATCCCGTAGTGGTAGAGGTAATAAGAGTATAAGCAGTAATCGGAAAGATTAGTGTTTGGAGATGTTACTTAAAGAGTATAATACAGTAACAACTGAATCAACAATGTCGTCGAGGTGGAATGAAATATTGAACACATATACGTCACACAAGTCACTTGATTTGTGTGTGGGTTGTGATACTACCTGAGTGACCAAACAGAAACAAATGGGTTTTTTTTAAGGAGTCACAACCGGAGCCTTTGACCTATAGGTCTGATTCACAAGGTAGTGAAGCAACGTCGGGAAATGCAGCTTCATGGCAGCCGGTGACCAATAATTGGTTCTTATGCTATTTGTTCCCTCAAGATCATGGAGCCCATGTGCAAAATTGATATGGAATCAGGATTTTCCAACTCTCCTAGGTGGATCCTTTATATCCACCAACCCGGTTAAAATACCGAACATCCTCTTTTCGTCGTCTCAATTTCGTAATCAACAGTAATGTCGCGAGAAGGCAGTGAGTAGGACTTCCCTGGCAGTGGTTTCAATGAAACTAATCTGCATCATCCCTCCCTATCATGGTCACTATCATTATCTTCTTTCCTTATCGATTTAATTACATGATATTAATAGATTTCTGTATGTATCCGAATTCTCCTTAGTAGTTTCAGATACAGTAAAACATAAATAATGTGATCTTTTTATTATTTACGGGGATTTTTTCCCCTTCAAGTTGTGATGTTTTATAATTAAGCATCATATTAAAGGTTGTTTCACTTAGCTACAGAATATAAATCAGTGTATAAAATGTGTTACTTATATTTAAAGATTAGATTATACAACAATTGATTAGGTAGTTTTTAGTAAAATGAATAAGGAAAATGACATTTATTTTAGAAGAGCATGGAAACATGAGTAAAGCTTTTTGTCTTGAGAATTTAACCCAGTGATAAACAAAAGACAGAGGGGGGGATTCATATGTAAAATGTTTAAAAATACAAGCTAAACCTTAGTGGATTTACTCTTTAACATATATAAAGTCTCAATGTTTGAGATCATGAGTCAATTGAAGCTAGACCACAATGGAAAACCTGGAAGCACTGGACGGCCGTTTCATCCTTATATGAAAGTCCTCAGCAGTGCACATCCACACGATCCACCTCACGTGATTAGAAACCAGAACCAATCGAACTCGCGCGCCAACGCTTAACCTCTAGACAACTGAGATGGGCGGCATACAACGGTGTTGGTATCTAACTTCAACCATCTTCCATTGTACTGAGATAGATACCTGTCTCTACCCGACACGGATTGACCTCAATGGTAACGGCTTCTAATTAGAACTCCGAGAATTCCCTCACGAAACTAGTCACTATTAAGGACATGGTAATTATCACTATGCGGGTGTGGAGACTATTAAGTTTTTGATGAACCGATTGATGTTAGACTAACATTGAAAATCTGTTAGAAAAATCTTAATAATCTTCACAACCTCATACTGATAATTTTTATTAAGTTGAATATTATTATTGATACTCGCTTCCATATATTATATGTAAAGGTTACAACATTACAACTGAATCTACAATTATTATTATCAGTGAAGTTTAGCGGAATCAAAAAAAATGAGTCTAGTTCAGATCGAATCATGACTTCAACTATTTAAATTACTACAATCTCTACAAATTCCTCATTCTGATCATTAAGGAATATTAAAACGCATAACAATAGTTAATAGATCCACTGGAATGTTGTAATAAAGAGAATATAGAAACCTAATGCAGCTATCTACTAATTATACAACGAAAATAATAAAAAATAATCTTTAAAAATAGTCCAAATGTTCTAACTTTTCCAGTATTCGTTTTTTCGTAACACTAATCACTAGGATATTACAAAGTTAGATACTAACACCACTGAACGCCGGTCATTTCAGTGGTCTAGAGGTTAGGTGTTCGCGCGCGAGACCGATAGGTCCTGGTTTCTAATATCGCGGGGTGGGATCGTGAGTGCGCACTGCTGAGGAGTTTCATACTAGAACGAAACAACTGTCCAGTAACTCTATGTTTTCCATTGTGGTCTAGCTTCATTTGACTTATGATCTCAACCATTGAAATTACTACCATGTCTACAAAACTCTTCTGATAATATAAAATTGATGAAGTTCGATCGGACAGTAAGTCGATATCCGTTAATTTCAGATTCGAACCCAAATGCCTAGTGCTTTTAATGTATAGTCAAATAGATGTTGTCATCTGTTAATACTATTCATCATTGTTTTATAATTAATAAAATAAATAGATACTATATCACATTCTTATCGACTTAGAATACGCAGATGACATAGTCCTGTTTGGTGAAGACGCTGATAAAATGCAGTGTTTTGGTAGTACTAAGCTACAATGCCAGAATGTTTGGAATGCGCTTCCTTTCCTCGAAATGCAAGTTGTTGCTTCAGGACTGGTCTGCATCAACGCCTGAACTAAGGATAGGGAGTGAAGTCGTCGAACGCGTCGAGAACTTCACTTATCTTGGAAGTCTGATCAGCCCTAATGGGTTGGTATCGGACGAAATCTCAGCACGGATTCGAAAAGCTCGTTTGGCTTTTGCCAACTTACGTCACCTTTGGCGAAGGCGAGATATCCGTCTATCAATTAAGGGACGAGTATACTGCGCGGCAGTTCGTTCTGTTCTATTTTATGGCAGCGAAACATGGCCATTAAGAGTAGAAGACACTCGTAAGCTACTAGTGTTTGATCACAGATAACTTAGAAATATTGCTCACATCTGCTGGGATTATCGGGTAAGTAATAGTGAGGTTAGACGCAGGGTATTAGGGAATGATGGTAAATCAGTTGTGAATCTTCATCGACTGAGATGGTTGGGCCATGTGTTGCGAATACCTGAACACCGATTACCACGTCGTGCAATGCTAACGGATGTTAGAGATGGTTGGAAGAGAATTAGGGGCGGCCAAACCAAAACGTGGCATCAGTGCTTGAAGACACTAACCTCCAGTCTGAGCCAAGTTGATAGATGCAGACTACTTGGTCGGGGTCCGCGTGACTTTCGTAACCGATGGTTGGAGACTCTTGGTGACACGGCTCAGAATCGATCACAATGGCGTTGGTGCATACAATCCCTGTCTTCCCTTAAACTAAGAGATTAAAATCGCTTCATATCTTTCTTTCTACGAACTAATTCTATATTCCGGTACTGTATCCTTATATGCAATCTTTCTCCTATATATTACCACCTTTAACCTAACCACTCCCATGAATCCGGTGTTCATCTTGCTGTGCTAACGAGGTATGGCAACCTGGACCGATGCATGTATGTACCTGGTCCTACGTTGTAGTTGACTGATTGACTATATCACATTGTATTGTTATTGTTAATATGATAATAATAACTCCTACAATCAATTTCGATTATGGTTAAAACCTTTTATACTAACTTACTTAATAGATAATTTTATTTGGATAGTAACAATTCGTCTATTTCTTTGTACTATTATGATCACTAGATCATATGATAGACTTTAGCTAATATGTTGTTCGGTTAAATATCACTCGATGATTCATTCACCCTTTGATATATGTATGTACTTAAACCCTATTATTAGTCTTTGATTTACCTTGTTTGCTTCCTTATGCATATGTAATTATTCGTATATACATATTTGTCTCTCAAATTCACTTGATGTGTATATAGCTTTGTGATATGTGTTATCCGTGAATAAACTATAGTTGCCGCTTCTCATTACTACCTGATTTTAAACATCGTTGAGATCATAAGTGATTGATCACTGGGTGGCGATCAATCTCATGTGTGTCAAGTCATTATTTAGTGCAGATCGAATGCTATCAACCATGTTTGCAATGTGGCCACCAGTCTAGGTGACTCGGCACTGCAGGCACTATATATTGAGATTAGATGGTGGACCCGAGTTTCCTGTCGACTACCTCCAACCACCATCTAAACATCGTTGAGAATTTATAGTATAACAGTTATCGAAGTGATTGATGAATGAAACAAAACCATTATAATGACATAATATCATTTCAGATTATTATCATTATCAAAGACATACATAGAAATTATAGCTTAGACTAAAATAGATCAAACAGGTCAAGGTTGAAATATGACACTTTATATAAGTAATTATATACTGACAATAATATGAAAAGTGAAAAAGTGACATACAAAGAGAAAGAGAACAACAAGTGAAATTTCAAAAAACACAAAGCGTCTAATAAAACGCTTTGTTTAAACTTTTTATTAAAACAAACAAATATATATTGTTGATTGTGAATATAGAGAACAAATTCATAATAACAAAGAATAGAAGAACAAAAGGTCAAGAGGATTTATTGATTTTTTTTTTTTAAAAAGTAGGTCAACCAAACATACACATATCAATGATGGACAATGGATCAATTTCGTGGATTAGTTGAAGTTAGATATTAACACGGTCGAATGCCGGTCAGCTCAGTAGTCTAGAAGTTACAAGCGTTCGTGAGCGAGACCGATAGTTTATTAGAAAAACAAAAGGTCAACAAACACACAATAATGATTGTAAGTAACACTAAAAGGATATGACTTGATCGTTTCAAAACAAACTGAGCATTAGGTAGATAGATTATAATGATAGAAGTATATTTAATAGTTGAATTCATGAGTCCATTGAAGCTACACCACCATGGAAAACTTCGAAGCACTAGACAGCTGTTTTGTCCTAGTACGAAACTACTGAGCAATGCGCTTCCACAATCCCGCTCCACGAAATTAGAAACCAGAAACTATCTGT